GGGAGCGGCGGCGGCAGCGGTGGCGGCAGCGGTGGCAGCAGCGGCGGCGGGAGCGGCGGCGGCAGCGGCGGCGGCAGCTGAGCGGAATTAACGATAGACAAGTGCTTAAGTACCGCGCGGGTGATGCCGGGAGAAAGACACAGAGATGAGAGAAAGCGAGAAAAAAAAAGATACTAGAGAGAGGGAGAGAGAGAGATGCTAAAGAGAGGGAGAGAGAGAGCGCGACAGAGAGAGATAAAAGAGAAAAAAACGAGATGGTAGAGAGAGAGAACGAGAGAGAGAGAGAGAGCGCGAGCGATAAGAGGAGAATTAAAACCGAACTGGGGTGGGATAGAGAGCGAGAGATGGGGGGGGGGCGCAGTGGGAGGCGTGTTAGCACATACACACATAATAAGTATTAATTTATGCGTCTAGAATGTTATGAATTCGATCTTATGTTAACATGATTTCTTCGCATATATTTTCCTCACCCCACCATTACGCGCCGCCGCCACACGTATATACTCTACCTAGTAGCTCCTACCAAACACACACACATCACACCTCACCCATCACTCCTCTCTCACACACACACACACACATCACACCTCACCCATCACTCCTCTCTCACACCACACACACATCACTCCCCACACTCATGCTCACCTATTATCCCTCCTCCTCCTCCTCCACTCTGGCGAGCACGCACGCATACAAGCACACGAGCGTACGCGCACTTGCACGCACGCACGCACGCAACACCACACACACACACACACTCACACACACCACACACCACACACAACACCACACACACATACACACGCAACACGCTCCACACGGTACGCACACACACACACACGGCACGCACACGCAAGCACGCACGCACGTCACGCACGCACGCACGCACGCACGCAACATCACACAGCACACACACACACTCTCTCTCTCTCTCTCTTTCTCTCTTCTTACGCACGCTACGCACCCACGTACACACGCGCTGCACACATACCAAATACTACACGCGCACGCACGCGCGCACGCTACGCCACACCTACCCTGTTGATCCTCTGTGCCCTTGAGGTTGAAGAGTACTCGTCGTCTGCGATCATAACTTGATGCAGGTTGGGCCGTGCTAGCTGGCGAGGAGATATGTGAGAACACGCCCACACGTTGGCCTCGCTCGCGGTATACGAAGCCACCGGCGAGCGCTGTCGAACCGGCGTGCACGGCACCCGATAATAGTATCGATGTTAGACGACCAGACGCCGGGAACAAGAGTAAGCTCGCGGTGACCTGCGGGAGGGACGAGAGAGCCGGTATAGGTCCAAGCATTGTACGTCAAATATTTTTTTCCACTTGCAGTTCCGCAGACCACAGTGACCAATCAGCCACTCTATTCACTCTTTACTTCTCGACAATAGCACAAATGTTGCTAAATGAATAGCTTCCTAACCTATACCCTTAACCATACCCTAATCACTAACTAGAATCCACCATATCTTATCTATATTACCGACTTATATCTCACAAACACGTATTCTATCGGTGGGTCCGGTAACTTAAGTGCGGACCAAAAAAATTTCCTGCGGCGGGCCGCGTGACATCTTTCCTCAAGGTGTCAACCTGCGCTCTTCAACATTGAGCACTTTGTGAATCTCCTGCTGGCTCGGAATAGACCACGTAAAAGGACCCCCGGCCCCGTCTCCTATAATACACTAGGTCATGGGGACGTTAAAACGAACCCACGTGAGAGCTGCAAAAAACTCTGGCATGATGTTGGAACCACCCTCAGTGCCTTTCGGCTTAAAGGCTAGGAACTACTGCGCCTTTACCCAGCTACCGCGTTCACACCCCATGGCTACCCCAAGCTATTATGGCCCAATCCAGCAACAAGATTTCTCTGCAGGCCGTTCTCAGCTAGCTGTGCGTCGGATCACTAGGACTTCTTGGCAAGGCGACGTCGCTTAGTCACTGCGCCAATGTAGGCCGTCGTCATCGTAGGCGAGCCTCGCAGCGTTTATATATATATTCTGGCTGCTAATTCCCGTTTCGGTTTTCTCCTAGGCTCAATTATTATTACTTAATTATTTTGCTACTGTGCTGCTGTGCTGCTTGCTACTGCTGTTGCTACTGTGCTGATGCTGCTAGTTGACCTGCTTGATGCTTTGATGTTGCTGCTGACCATACTACTACCTGCTTACTTGCTGCTACAGCCTGCTGGCTGTTCGCTGATGCTTGCTGCTTGACTCTACTACTATGCTACTGCTGCTTGCTTGCTGCTGCTACTACTCTGCTGCTGCACTGCTGCCTACTACTCTCACTACTACTACTACTACTACTACTACTAATACTACTACTACTACTACCTACTACTACTACTACTATACTACTACTACTACTACTCTAACTAATACTGCTGCCCTGCTGCTGGTACTACTACTTCGCTAACTCACTACTACTACTGCTGCTGCGGATGCTGTGCTACTACTACTGCCTGCTGCCTATGCTGTACTACTTGATTACTCTAGTAGCGTAGTTATAGTAGTAGTAGTAGTAACGTACTCTCGGTGACGTACCTGCGGAGCGGGTGTAGGTGCATGTGAAAATATGGAAGACATCACATCGAAGATGAAGCAGGAGAGTAGCGGTAGCCCGGTGGCGTTAATGACACACTTAGCACGTATCCATCATCGTGACTTCAGAATCAACGGTCCCTGCTAACGAAGACTATAACGGACTATTGTAACGCAAACATATACTACGTATTTTATTTCTCTTTTTATCCTCATTCATCCTATCGTATCCGTATTATTGTATCTATATACTATCATATATATATATACTACGTATTCAGTATATATATTATCATAGAGCTCATAATAGAAGAGCTCTCTATTATGAGCTCTTGAATATTATTTCTCTCTCGCTTCTCATTTCCCTCTTCGAAACACACGGCTTCGTCTTTGCAACCACGCGGCTTCTGTCTCTTCTAAATACGTGAATCGACGCATAACGTAAATCCGACGCTACACATGACTACTAATGCCATGGTAACGATGCCGCTGCGTCCGTGGTTACTATGCAGCTAGCAGCGTCATTAGCATGCTGCTAGGGGCTTGATGAGAGATTAACGCAGACTTATCTCTGTTTACGTGCCAATCAAAGAAATATTATCGGTTAAGTGTTTAAAGAATGACATAACCGAGCTCCCAGCTCTCCCTCCCTCCCTCTCATCGCATTCGACCGTCAATCGATAGAAGATCTATTCCCTTGTGTGTGTGTGTGTGTGTGTGTGTGTGTGTGTGTGTGTGTGTGTGTGTGTCGTGGTGTCGTGTCGTGTGTGTGTGTG